ATCTGCAGTTCAGCGGTTCTAATCTCACCGGTTCAAGGTTGACTCAGCCTTCCATCCTTCCGAGGTGGGTGAAATGAGGACCCGGACTGTGGGGGGCGATATGCTGACTCTGTAAACAGCTTAGAGAGGGCTGAAAGCCCTATGAAGCGGTATATAAGTCTAACTGCTATTGCTATTGCTACCTTATTTCCCTCTTTTTATGATCAGAGTTCTAAATTTCTGAGAATCGAAGCAGTCTTGGCAATAGATTCATTTTCAGATCAAGGACTGTATTGTTTGTGATTATTCTTTTTCAGAGATTATATTTCTTTTAGAGTTTAGAATTAAGTTATTTCTAAACACCCCATTACAATGCATAAATGTTACTGGATAATAACCGTACAGTAATATTTCCCAGCCAGTAGCTTCCTGTTACGTTGGAACAACTGCCTTAATCCTATAGTCAAATTGACTGAGGATTATGCAGATCGTAGCCCTGAGGCACATTGAGGGCATCAGATAAGAAACAGCTCTTCCAAAGCAAGATATAGTGGCTTATTCAGTGCCTGATTTTAACTTTATCAAACTTAGAAGCTGCTACAGAAGCCTGATGAAATCATGAATGTAGAGATAGTTTGCAATCCTCCACGATCTTCAGTAGAAATACGATGACTTGTAGCAGATGTACATTTTGTACACGGATTGTAATCAGCTGCGGAAAGTTCGTCACACACTAAGCCAGCTCATAGGTTGGCACTCTGGGAATGTCCCCACTTGGTTTTTTTTTTGGCAAGAATCCCTTTGGAAGTTTTCATAGACACCCTTTTTCTCTCCCTCCAGGTCCTCATCTTGCAGAACTTCAGGAACCACTGCCACCATGGCCACCTCTGCCAGTTCCCACTTGAGCAAAACTATAAAACAAATGTACATGAAACTGCCACAAGGTGACAAGGTGCAAGCTATGTACATATGGATCGATGGGACGGGTGAATTCTTGCGCTGTAAAACCCGGACCTTGGAGCAGGAGCCCAAGAACGTTGAAGGTAAGCAGATTTGGAGTGAGCTTTCCTAGGACGTCCATCAAGGAGAGAACCAGCTTAGAACCAAGGACGAATAAGTCAGGGCAGAAAGCCAAAAGAAGAACAGCTTCTACTGCCTTAGACTTAGGCTAGAGTCTTAGAGATGACGCTGCAACGTGGCACGACAAAACCGCGAAGCCCTTATCCGCGGAGACATAAGCGTGTCGCTGAAGCCGCGACGTCATCATCGCGCGTCATCACCAGCGCGGCAACAGAAGGGCGCTTTAAAACGGCGCCGTGGCAGAAAGCCGATTTCAATTAAGGTAAGGGTTAGGAT